CCGGCAGAGATGCGAGCCGGGAGGAAGCCTGCGGGCGCGGCTCCCGCGTGGCGGAGGGAGCGGCGGCCACACCAGGAGTCCCGCGCCGGGGTGGAAGCGAGAGCGCGGCTGGGCTCCAAACGGAGGGGCTTAGCCCGAGCCCGGAGTGTGACCTCCGCTCCAGCCCCCGGGAGATGAATCTGAATCTCTCTCTCTCTCTCTCTCTCTCTGTGTGTGTGCGTGCGTGCGTCTGAGAGAGAGAGAGAGAGAGAGAGAGAGAGACGCGTTGGTGTCGGAGAGAGGCGCCTTAAGTCAGCAGCCCCAGAGCACATCCCCTTGGGAATGAATGCTATTGAACTCAAAGAAGCTTCCGCGCCAGGGATAGAGAGACGGGGTAAGACGGGAAAAGGGCTTCCGGATCAACCTTTGGGTTTCAGTGCGGTTTAGAATATAAATAAAGGGTCGAAAGAGTGGCAAAACCCCCCTGTTTTGGTTCTGCCTGGAACGAGTTGCAGTAATTGCCATTTGGAAGCGTCCAGGCCACCAACAGGAAAGGAGAGGGGTGAAAATATAAGGAGGCTTCTAAGAAAGCTGGGTGTTAAATCGCAGGCTTCATATATACTCTCTCTGTCTCTCTCTCTCTCTCTCTCTCTGTGTGTGTAATGAAAGGTAGTCTGTTAGAAAGCCACACCATATGGCATGAAATATCACCTTTTCAAAATGTCCCAAAATGCTTTTGAGTTCCCTTGAGGTTATTCTGAAAGGCATTCTGCACGTGCCCTGAGATAATTTCTCTCCTTATCAAACTTTACCCATCTCAGAATTGACCTAGCTATGGAAAACAGACCTCAGCTGCCAAGCCTAGCAACAAATCAAACTCTCATCAGAGGCAAAACATAAATGGCATACATAGGGTGCGCGGATAGCTGGCATTAAGTTGGCAAGCATGGACTCATAGGAGGTTGGCTCAGAAGAAGGATGACTTGCCTGGAGAGCAAGGGGAGGGGAAGAGTGGGCTAAGAGCAAGTGAGTCACCTGGCTGAAGCATAAGCGTGTGACTTGCAAGAGGGAAAGCTAAGCCCCATGTGCCAACGCAGAAGGGCTTCTCTTGGATTTTGATGTAGAATCACAGGCCGTTTGCGTGGGTGCCTGGTGCCAGTTACCTCATCTGTTACTGAACCTGCATTCCGATGCATGACTCTTGAGCAGGGTGGGATGGGGGCCAGCACCAACCAAGTTTGGAGGTGGTGGAGTCCTGGCACGAGGTAGCCTTTTGCTTTACATGCTATGTCATGTATTGCTGGGCCACCAAAACAGTCTGCCGACGTGTAGATATCAAGTGGAGTTCTAGGCTAGAATGAACCAATGCAAAAAAGGGGGCAGCAAATCCTTTTTTTCCCCTGAAGGTTTTCTGCCTGTTTCTGATGGTATCACCCAGTGCTTGCCTGATAGCTTTCTTGTGGCTTTCCAACAGTTTGGCACAATGTCCTATGAGCACATATATCTGGATCTTGGTCTTTCTGTGGCTACAAGCTTATTTTGCATTAATGCCCAGCCTGTGGCTGCTGCCTTAATTTATGTTAGTTACAGGCACTCACCCTTTCTAATGAAAACCTGATCTAAATAGTCGCTTGTGGAAGTGTACCTCAGCTTCAGGTATAACATGATGAATAACGACAGGACCCCTTTCTCTGCTCTGCTTTGTGTTGCTCAGGCTGTTGAATGAGAGCGAGAAGCGCCCGTTTGTGGAGGAAGCTGAACGGCTGAGGGTGCAACATAAAAAAGACCACCCAGACTATAAGTATCAGCCACGGAGGAGAAAATCAGTCAAGAATGGGCAGGCAGAACAAGAAGAAGGCTCAGAACAAACCCACATCTCTCCCAATGCCATCTTCAAGGCCCTGCAGGCAGATTCTCCACAATCTTCCTCCAGCATGAGTGAAGTCCACTCCCCTGGAGAGCATTCTGGTGAGTATAAGCACCTTTTCCAACCCTACCTGCAGAAGAAAATGAAGAAAAACTGCCCCACCGCGCAAGGCGCAAAAACTTAGAGAAATGGTGGTAGCAAAGGTCCCAGAGCATCTCACCAAGATAAGGGTAACAGAAGTATGAGATAGGTGTATGCGTTCTGCGTGCCTATGACTCCAGAAAAATTACAGCCACGAAATATATACATAGAGACAGTACGGCACAATATTCTTTAGACACAGCGCAAGCTCTAGTGTGGATTTAAGCAAACATTCCAAAATCTGTTTGACTGTTTTGCTTTGCAGATTCATTCTGCAAGCAGCACAGTTTCTTGCTACCTTTTTTCCCACAGACTGATATCTCTTGCAGCTCACAAACACTCTTAACTCTAGCTCTAGAAAAGTTTAGAGCCCTGCAGCTATCTTCAACGGCAGTCCATGCTTATTGGCCAGCCCTCCCTCCCTCTCCTTTCCCTCTCCTCCCACCAGAGTTAACCATTAACAGAGCTATCACTGTTACTACAACACCTTCTGCTTATTAAAAAATGGCCACTGCTAGATTTCCTGTGGTTTGTGGCCTTCCGTCTGTGCCATTATCAATGAAAAGAGATAGGCTTCGGGGTGCGGCTTGCCTGCAGTTCGACTTCAAAGGCGCAGAAGGGGTCAGACTTACTAAGGCGTGTGCTGTTTCCTTTGCGTCTCCCTACAGGGCAATCCCAGGGGCCCCCGACCCCTCCTACAACTCCCAAAACCGATGTCCAGGCGGGCAAGCAGGACCTGAAGCGAGAAGGCCGCCCTCTGCAAGAAGGAGGGAGGCAGCCCCCGCACATTGATTTCCGAGACGTGGACATTGGCGAGCTCAGCAACGACGTCATCTCAAACATCGAGACCTTTGACGTCAATGAGTTTGACCAGTATCTCCCGCCCAACGGCCACCCTGGTGTCCCAGTCACCCATGGCCAGCCTGGTCAGGTCACCTACACTGGCAGCTATGGGATCAGCAGCACCACAGCGAGTCCAGCTGGGACCGGGCACGTCTGGATGTCTAAGCAGCCGCCTCAGACCCAGCCGCCGCCGCAGCCTCAGCCGCCGCCCTCCTCTCAGCAGCCGCCCTCCCAGGCCCAGCCGCCGGCGCCCCAGGCCCAGCCTCATACGCTGACCACCCTGAGCAGCGAACCGGGGCCGCCCCAGCAGAGGACACACATCAAGACAGAGCAGCTGAGCCCCAGCCACTACAGCGAGCAGCAGCAGCATTCGCCTCAGCAGCTGAGCTATAGCTCCTTCAACCTCCAGCATTACGGCTCCTCCTACCCAACCATCACTCGCTCGCAGTATGACTACACAGACCACCAGAGCTCCAACTCCTACTACAGCCACGCCGCCAGCCAGAGTTCGGGCCTCTATTCGACATTCACGTATATGAACCCCAGCCAGAGGCCAATGTATACGCCCATTGCAGACACTACCGGGGTGCCTTCCATTCCTCAGACCCACAGCCCCCAGCACTGGGAACAGCCCGTCTATACCCAGCTCACCAGGCCATGAAGTTTTTCAATGATGTTTTCTCTTTTTTTTTTTCCAAATCTCCTCAGACTTTTTTTAAAGGCTAAAAGTGAATGCATAATGGGGAGGGGGAACAAATCCCAAAACGCCTTGTGCACTACAGCATCCTTTTGAAATCGGCCAGAGCATCCCACTCAGTAAACAAACATTCCCTGATGGACTGAAAACCTTGATCTGAAGGCAGTTTCTTATTTTCTTCTTCAGCAGCCAACTTAGTTTGCCTAGGTATGGACTCCGTAATTATTTTTTAACAATAACTAAAAATAAAAAAATAGAAAAAAAAGAGGTAAAAACTCAAAAGGATTCCTCTGTGAGGAATATTCTCTATTTTAAATACTTTTTTTTTTAGTATGTACTGTGTATGATTTGTTACCAATTTGAGGGGATTTATATGGTCTACTTTGTGTTTTTAGACAGACTCTTTAAAAAAATTTTATCCTTTTGTTTTTTGACAGTTAAACAACAATAAGTCGAGCAGTCATGCCTTAACCTTTTTCCCTTGCTGTCAGAGGTATTTTTATATAGCTAATTGCCTTTTGCTTGTAGAGAGCAAAACATTTATGTATAAAGTCAAATGAATGGGGGAGGGGGAGTTCCTTTCTGATCAGTGGTCAGTTGCTCAGTGTGATGATGGGGATTTGGAAAGAGATGTTATTTTTCTAGCTTGAGAGTAAAATGTGTTTTGAGGAGAATTTTTTTAAAACGAAAGAACAATAACACCTTGAGCCTTAAAGTAACACTAATGAAAAAGCCTTACAGAACAGCCCTGTGATCACTTCACTTGCACAAAGATTTCCCTCCCTGTCAAAGAAGAGAGGGGGAAATGAGACTCTTTAAAAAAGGAGAGCTCCATCCTCTGAGGTCGGAAGCTTTTTTTTTTTTTTTAAGAATCGTCTATATTTTTGGCAACACCAGCGTCAGATTGTAGAGCCACAAACCAGCATCCCCCACCCTGGCTCCCCCACCCTTTCCACCTTCTGTAGGACGCTGAGCCCCCACGTGTGAGGCACATGCTGGTGGTCCCAAAAATCACTTTCCCTTCAAACTCCACAAGGAATTAGGTAGTATGTTCTATGAAGCAGTTTGCAAGGGGAAGGGGAGAGTAATGGTGGGAGGATTTTGACATTAGCAAGGTTCATGGGTGACAGCATTGATGCCTTTAAAAATAATAATAATATTATTATATATTTATTTTGTGGAAAAAAAGAGAGGTTTTTAATCAAGAAGTTTTTCTTTCCATTTCCCTCCTTCCATATTTGAAGTTCTTCTAATGTAAACAGAGCGTTACTCCAAGGGTATATGGTGCCTAATCTTTAAATTATGATTTAAATCAGTAAGTCCTTATTTTATTTATCTGTCTTGTTCTCTCTCTCTCTCTCTTTTGGCATTTTTATTGTTATTATACCTTCAGGATGTGTCTTAGGTTTGTACAAATGCCTCTGCTTCCTTATGTTTCTTATTTCCTTTCTTTTTTTCCTTCATTTTTGTTTAAGGAAAAACTGGAATGCTTCCCTTCCCCTCTTCATTTTTTCTTAGTGCAAACAAAAGATTGCAAACATAGCATATCACCGAGTCATTTGCCTTGGTTTTGTTTCACTTTTCCTGCCTCAGCTCCTCTGGACTCATATGGTGGGCTTAGATCTATCTACACATGAAGTGGAATAAGGAGAAAATGGCAGCGCAGAATGGACTGTACCACTAAAGGTGGAAGGTCATTTTAAAAATAATCTTCATATTTTTTTAAAAAAATACACCATCCCTTGGACTTCTGCTCTTTTTTTACCTCCAAGGATGTATTTTACATAAATAGGGGGAGCTTTTTGGTCTCTTTTTTTTAAATGACAACCTGATCTGTAAACCAAAATGGTACAATCCATATGTACCCAATGCTTCATACTGCTGGTGTATGTAGGCCAGGCCTTGGTCTGTCCGAGAGAAGCAAAGCAATAATGGGTGCAGCCACCTAGTCTTGCTGCTCTGGGAACCCTGTTGTATTCCCTTGGGGTTTGCTCATTTCCACAGACCATTTATTTGCCCCTTGAAAACCACATAGAAACGAAAAGAGCAGCAGTTCTTGATGTATGTGTTCCACCAACCTTCCACATGATTTAAGGGTATGGCCTATGGGGAACTGGCTGGTAAAACTGTGGCTGAACAGTTAAGGATTGCTTAAAAAAAGGATAGCCAACTTTTTTATTTAAAAAAAGATATATTTGTTAACATTTTGTAGGAGATTCAGTAGAAGAAAATCTTAAAGCACTCTTATAATATGGTATCTTTTCTATTTCTATATTAAAAGAAAAACCCAGATCTTTTTAAAGTATTTCTGTAACTTAAAAGACCTGTCCTTTTAAAAATCAGTTTTAGGTAAGTTTTCTCTTTTCCTGGTCATTTGTTTGCAAGTCCCTTTGGTTTTCTGTAAAACTTACCTTTTTGTATATTATTGTTTGCAATAAATATACATTGTATTAAACTTCAGAGGAAATGAGGTCTTTTTAACTGCCATACCCTATTACTGAAGTGACAGTATATTCCTAATTGTTTGGAGAATGCATCATTTAATTTTTCAAAAAAATGAAATTATACCTATTAATCCACATTAGCCTGTTCACAGATCAACATTTCCACATTCATCTGTTCCTAGATTGCATCTACTTCTGACAGCTGCCTTCAAAACTGATTGATGAATCAATGTCCCCCAACAGATATAATGCTGAAGGTTTGCCTACAAGGAAGGACTCATTTCATTATTTCTAGGACCTTTCCTATACACACATTTATAGGCCTACTCTCTACCCACCACATGTCACCTGGTTTGCTCCTAAGGGTACTTTTTCAGCAGGAAAGCCACCTTGAGATAGAAATACAAAAGTTCCCAAAACATTGGTTAAAACAGCTAGTATCTCTTCCTTTTGCTCTTTATGCAGGAGAAACCACTGGGGAAAAAAGTGCTAGTTAAATTGCTGGGACTCCAAGAAAGGATTATAGGACCATTTGCTATAATAATGTGTAAGAAGGAAAGAGCTCAGCTTTCAATTTGCACATTCAGTATCAAATCTTCTCCCAACACAGCATGCAAGGACCATGCCCCCTACAAAATGCACCATATTGTAATTTTAGTCACTGTTGCATCATATGCATCATACACCTGAAGCAGGTTGATCGGGAAGAGGCATTTTTTTTTTGTTATAAGCCATCAAATCTCATCCAATTCAGGGTGACGCTAATGGGGGTTTCAAGATATTTGAGGTATTTAAAAAGTGATTTCACCATTGGCACACATAGACACACACCCAGTGAGTTTTTGTGGACAAGTAGGTATTTGAACACAGGTCTTCTGTGTCCTATGCCATCACTGAATCCACTACATTACCTGGGAGCTCAAGTAGAATAAAGATATAGGAGTTAGATGAAAAGCATAGTTTGGAAAAGATTTTTCTTTTTTTATTACAACTCCCAGAATCTTCCCTCACCAGCATGGCCTGCTGGGAGATTTCCAAAAAAAGTAATTTTCCATGTTCCAGCAAATACTCATTCTTTGCCTGATCCTTTCCCATTTTGAACTCCCTCGAGAAGAATAGCTGTTGGGGCACTCCTACACATCTTAGGGTTTTGTTTTGTTTTTGTTGGCAATGGCCTTTCAATGCAGAGAATGAGACAAAAGCTGTACCCAATGATTCCTAAAGCATGAAAAGCACAAAGAGGGAGGAAAGGATGCCAGCCTTGCCCACCCTCAGCAGTTGGACATTGTTTTTGCACACAAAACCAACGGCCTGAAGAGGGGGAAACTGTTTTATCTGTGCAAGCTTGCCATACGAACCAGAATGTGAAAAACTCTCTTGGAGAGCCTACACGGATATAACAGCCTCCTCCTATTCAGGCTGTTGTTCTCATGTGTTGAAAGCAATGACTAAGCAGGCAGGGCTAAGGTGCTCCTCTCAATGTATGTGTTGTCCATACTTAATGTGAGAGTTTGCTTTAAGAGTGACTGAACAGTCTTCCCATGTTACCAGAAGATGAAGGAAGTTGGACACTTCAGAAGCAGTTTAACATCTGGAAAGAAGGCATTGCATTAAGTTTTCAATAACCATCTAGAGCCAAGAGGGAGACATTATGATGTACACCACAACAGTGGTCCCACAGATAGACATGGGTTTTTTGTTCCTCTTGAAACTCAATGCAGAAGCCATGTTGTGATTGGTCCCAATATTGCCTAGCAGCTGAATTTCTCTGCTATATAAAAAGGAGTGCATAAGGTCATTTCTAGAGGGATAGCCATATCAGTTTGCTGCAGCAAAAACAACCAAGAACTCTTGTGATGCTTCAAGGACTAGCACTTTTATGATGGCAGTTGCATCTAACAAAAACTATGTCCACAACAGCTTTTGCCATAATAAGTTTGTCAGTGGAGAAGTTGCCACAAGATCCTTTGGTTTGGCATTCTTCTAAAAGCCCATGGAGTTGAAGATCACGAAGTGAAGGTTCTTTTGAACCTTTGAGGGTATACTTTGGCATACCATTATGCATGCTTGATCCCATTGACATCAAGAGACTTAGGTACACCTGTGTTTATGCTGGGTTGTGGCTTGAAAAAGTGGAGGAGAGAAGTAATGTGCACACTTGCCATGGGTGGTTCAAGCACAGTGGAAGAAGGATGCGAGGTAGACTGTTTACTTTGGCAAACTCATCTGGGGAGTTTTCCAGATCATATTGACTCTCAGGTTCTTTCCGGCAAAACAAACAGATGAACTCATTCTCTGAACTTCTATGTTCTTCTCTCTGTCTCTGTCTGTCTGTCTGTCTCTCTCTCTCTCTCTCTCAATCAAACACACACACACACACACACACACACACACAGAGAGAGAGAGAGAGAGAGAGAGAGATTTGCATGTCATACACATTTTGTGGTATGTTGTAATAGGGAAACCTACCCCTCCTGGAAAAAAAATCAGAATAAAACCAAGATGTTTCCTCTGCAGTATCAAGGCACCCAGTGAAGAAGGTAAACCACTTCTGAGTACTCTGAACCTTAAAAAACCAAACTGGAAGGGATTGCCATACGTCAGAACTTACTTGATGGCATGTAATTATTATCAATCGTATTCTATTTCATAAACAATCACAGAAGCATCCCCTTCTCAGGCTTTCTATTGCCTGACCAGTTGTTTGACTTATCTCACAACCAGTGCGCAAAGAGGCACCCACCTGGAGGAGGGGGACAGTTACAGGTGTGACACTCTGCCCCATGTTTAGACAACATGGGCTGAGACTATAGGTGCCCCTCGAGGGACAACTCAAGAAATAGCCTGCCATCACTTGGTCTTTGCTACTTCAAGTTGAGCAGAGCTTATTTATCTCATCCCCGGGCAACAAAGCTTTTGTATGCACTCTCCCTTTTAAAGAAAGTTTAAAAAGCTTACTGTTTTGGACTACAGTTCCCACGAACTGGACACTGGCCATGCTAACAGGGAGATTTTAGCAGCCCTAGGCCAAGAAATGGCTTTCCCAAGATCTGCAAGGAATGCACCAGTAGTTTGAGATGTACTTTACAAAAAGGGAGTTCCCCCACATTGTTTTTTGTGAGGGAATGTTCAGCCCTTAACCTGAAACACCTGTTGCTTTTCTCACCCCAGCCCTGTGCTCAACCAATATTTTCAAACAGCCTGGCCTCTCTCGTGGGGTTTGTGACACTGAAAGATTCGGTCTTGAGAAATGTGCTCTCAGGATCTGAACTGCATTTCAACACAAAGGTTAAGGGCCTTCACATTTACGCCACTGCTTTCGAAATGACATTTTGAACCAACATTTAAGCACTAGCTAAGACACCCATGCATACAGGCACAATACTCTTCCAGGTTCAAGCACACAAGTCTGCGAAGCAGAAAAGGCACTTTGCGCTGTGAATGGGCTCACGTAACTCACCAGACTCTGAGAGCTGGAAATAAACATCTGTTCTGCAATGTCCTTCAGCCACATATTTGCCTGACAGTGCAATGACACCTGTGCCTGCCATCTGTCATGAGAGAGGCAACCGAAGAATCAGTTAAAGAAAAATAACTTCTGCATAGATGGGCTGCAAATGTATTTGGTGGAGGTCAGTTATAATATTTCACGGAGGGGACTTGGAGAAGAAGAGCTTGAGAAAAGGTACAAAACAGCTGTAAACTTTAACAACATAATGTATTCACATCGCTCTAAATTGTGATCAACCACAAGGGGGGAAAGACATCACACATCTCACACTTGTACTTGTGTAAACCCATTAGTGCAGTCATTATAGCCATGCACAGATGTAAATATACCTAAGCCATGATTTATATGAATGTGAGGATACGTATAGTGAAAGAATCCTGCTGTTGAATATTTAGATCAGGGACAAGAAAAATGTGGTCCTCCAGGAACTGATAGAATGCAAATCTCATCAGCCCTAGCCAACACAACCAACGCAGAAGGATCAGGGGAATCACTATCCTATCCAACACCTGGACAGACACACTTGCCCAGCTCTTCTTTAGATGCTGCCAGAGTCAGCCTAATGTTGCTGCTTAAGTGACACCCAAATGATGCCCCGATCCCCACTAGATCCAGCCCTATACAAACTGTCTTGCTGTAGGCAGATGGAAGGAAAGCCTAGGCTATAGCACAAGTCAGTAGCCTGCAACATTCATTTTTTTCAAAAAGGAACTAAAAGGAATTATTTTAGTTACTTGGAAGACCTGGAAAGGAAATATGTCATTTTAA